TCCTCGCGGGCACGCGCACGAGCGCACGCAACGACCCCCGCGCCTGAGACCCCGCCAGAGCCCGCGGAGCCTCCCTGCCCTCGCGCTCGCCGCCTGTTGGGGTCCGGGTCCCGCGCCGGCCCACGTCCGCAGAGGTCCCCCAGTTCCTCCCATTATTGTTGTCTTCTTCACTCAAGCCCTGGTTACCCCGTGGGGTTGGTCGGAGTCCGCAAAGCCCTTCCCCAGAGAACAAGCACTGCCTTAGCCTAAGTTCGCTGCCCGGCTATAGTAACGAAAAACTGGCAGTGGGATCCGGGGTCCTAGTTGTCCCCGGTGGCCTCTGGGAAATGTAGTCCAAGCTAAATTGGCCTGGCCTCAGTGGCCTTTGGGAAATGTAGTCCAGAGGCGTAAAACGGCCGCGCAAGGACTGCCCACCCGGCGCCCCGGGGACTGGGAGTGCGCAGGCGCAGGAGCGCCGGTAGCGCTGGCCGTGGAACCCGGAGCTGGGAGATAACGAAAAATCCTGTAATAGGTACTAAAATGTGTCCTGACGTTAACGTGAAAATATGGTAGCTATTCAAAATAACTTATATTATTCAATAAAATATTAATAGGCGTAAAGTAACCTGGTATTGCTAATAATAGACTAAACATGTGAGGGAAATGTAGCCGCCCTCTGATAAAGCGATTTAATTTTTATTAGATATTAAAATTATAGGCTAGGGGCCGACGCTGTGGCGTAGCGGGTTAACGCCCTAGCCTGAAGTGCCGGCATCCCATATGGACGCCGGTTCTAGTCCCGGCTGCTCCACTTCCAATCCAGCTCACTGCTAGGGAAAGCAGAGGAAGATGGCCCAAGTCCTTGGGCCCCTGCACCCACGTGGGAGACCTGGAAGAAGCTCCTGGCTCCTGGCTTCAGATCAGCGTGGCTCCGGCCATTGTGGCCAACTGGGGAGTGAACCAACGGATGGAACACCTTTCTCTCTCTCTCTCTCTCTCTCTCTCTCTCTCTCTCTCTCTCTCTGCCTCTCCTTTGCTCTCTGTATAATTCTGACTTTCAAGTAAATAAATAAATCTTTAAAAAATAAAAATACAATTATAGGCTATAGTGTTGTGTAGTCTTAAGATTTTTCTTGAGGGGCTGGCGCTGGCATCTCATATGGACACCTGTTTGAATCCTGGCTGCTCCACTTCTGATCCAGCTCTCTGCTATGGCCTGGGAAAGCAGTAGAAGATGGCCCAACTCCTTGGGCCCTTCACCCATGTGGGAGACCCGGAAGAAGCTCCTGGCTCCTGGCTTTGGATCAGTTCAGCTCCAGCCATTGCGGCCATCTGGGGAGTGAACCAGCAGATGGAAGCCCTTTCTCTGTCTCTCCCTCTCTCTCTCTGTAACTCTACCTCTCAAATGAATAAATGAAAAATATTAAAAAAAAGATTTTCTTTGAAAAAGAAAATAAATACAATCAGGCTAATTAAACAACTATTACCTAAATTTAAAAGACATGTATCTTTCTGTCCTACCATGCATTACAGTTTTTTTACTCTTCTTGATTACTTTTCCAGTAACATTTCTCTGAACTGCCTGGAGCTTTTACGGAGTAGTTCTTTTTGTTTATGTAGCAGTAAAGCTGAATTCAGGCACATGTAAGATTCACTTTGCCTTCCAACCCAGCTTTTATTAAGCCCACATCACACTGTCTCCTGTTGTCAGCTCAATAACATTTGGGGACGGAATAGGATTCTGCTTGATGGTAGCAGCAGGCTTCGGCCTTGGAATTGATTCCCAGCTCTGCACGCGTGTCCATCCGCTGTGTTCTGCAGGCTTTCCCAGGTACAGCGGCTGTGCACGTGTAGACTGATCATCTCCCTCTGAACTCCGTTAACCTGGAAACTACAGGGAGAGGGCTTGCTGCCTGCTCCCTTCATGTTGATTTTGTAATTGGCCAGATAATATTTTGGCTGCTTCTGCAAAGGCATTTTTCGGATAAGATTAACGTTGAAATCAATGGTCTTTGAGTAAAGCACATTAGCCTTTATGATTTGGGGTGGGCCATATCCAATCAGTTGAAGGATTTAATATAGACTTCTTCATGCAAGAAGGAATATTTAAAAAAAAAAAGATTTACTTATTTGAAAGAGTTACAGAGAGGCAGAGAGAAAGAGAGAGAGAAGAGGAGAGAGAGAGAGATCTTCCATCCGCTGGTTCACTCCTCAAATGGCCACAACAACTGGAGCTAAACTGATCCGAAGCCAGGAGCCAGGATCTTCTTCCACGTCTCCTGCATGGGTGTGGGGCCCAAGGACTTGGGCCATCTTCTGGAGTTTTCCCAGGCACATCAGTAGGGAGCTGGATCAGAAGTGGAGCAGCTAGGTCTAGAACTGGCACCCATATGGGATGCTGGCCCTGCAGGCTGCGGCTTAGCCCACTGCACCACAGTGCCGGCCCCGCCTTGTATTTTTAATATGCGTCCTTTTCTGTTTGAATGATAACACTACATTTTTTTTATTATTGCATTTGAATGGATTTTAGTCTTTTTTCAGAGATCCAGCCACTGGAGGGAGGAGCCTGTTGTGTATAAGATACTGTGCTCATCTGAAGCTGAAGGTAAACTCACAGGTGCTGAGGGGTAAGGGAAGGTCCTCTGTGCTGTTACTCTCACCGGCGGAACTTCACAGACCTGCGTAATGCCAGCACCCAGGACATCTGGGGAACGTGTAAACATGACTCATGATCTCCCAGCTGACTTCCTGGTGCACCTCAGGTCCCTCCTGCGTTGGCTGTATCTTCAGTTTGGCACCGGTGATGGTTCCTGCACGGATCTGTCCTCACTGAATTGGAGAATAAATGACACCGTGACATAAAGTGACGCAGGGAGAGGCAGCTTCGGTCCTTTTCCTGTCGAGGAAAACATCTCTGCACAAACTAATAGAGATGAAGGCATCAGCAAGATTGGGTCACCTGGGCCGTGCTCCTTTATAGCACTTTGTAGAGAGTGACGGGGAAATTCGAAGGGGAAATGAAGATGCTCAGCCTGATCAGGCCACGGTAAGCAGCCGGGTCCCCACGTTGTTGTACCCGGATGTCCGGCAGTGGTGGTGCCAATTATACTGCTCAGTGCTTGGCAGCTAGCATTCCCCTCTCTTCCCCGCCCCCTCCTGCCCTTCCTGCCTCCCTCCCACTTCTCTCTCTCTCTCCCTCTCTCTCCCTCCCTCCTCTCCTCTTTCACCTACACATTCTTCCCGTTTTCCACACTCTCCCACTCTGCTTCGTAAGGCAGGCATGAGCTGTCCTCAGAAAGAACCCTCAGTATCTTGGGAAGCCTCTGTCTTAGGTGAGGCTTCTAGATGGTGTCCAGATAAAGGGAGGCCCCTGTCCTCCCAAAAGGAGGTGGCGACCACATCTGTTAGCCCAGTATCATGGAGTGCAAATATTTTCTTTTCTTTTTTTAGAATTATTTATTTATTTGAAAGTCAGAGTTACATAGAGAAGGAGAGGCAGAGAGAGAGAGAGAGAGAGAGGTCTTCCATCCACTGGTTCACTTCCCAGTTGGCCACAATCGCCGGAGCTGTGAAGGTCTGAAGGCAGGAGCCAGGATCTTCTTCCGGGTATCCCACGTGGGTGCAGGGCCCCAAGGACTTGGGCCATCTTCTACTGCTTTCCCAGGCCATAGCAGAGAGCTGGATCAGAAGTGGAGCAGCCGGGACTCGAACCAGCAGCCATATGGGATGCCAGCACTGCAGGTTGGCAGCTTAACCCGCTACGTCACAGCGCCAGCCCCTCAAGTATTTTCAAATGCATCCACTGAAATACATCCCAGATCTCAAGGTGCAACTCGTTCCGTATCAGGCGCTGACTTCAGTGTGACAGACCTGCCAGGGCCGTGAATTGAATGCAGAATAGGAGTGCAGAAGCTCTACTGCATTATAACTGCACCTTGTCATTAGTTTTCAGCGAAGCCTGCTCTCTTGCTGCAGGGTGAGAATACCTTAAACAAGGGAGCTTTCTGGCTTTGCTAACATTCTCAGAGTTCATTTATTTTAAAGTCTGACCATTTGTTTTCTTTAGCTATTCTATGGAGGTTACAGAAAACTAACCAATTATACAGTCCTTAAAGTTGCCATTGCTCATGTATTTTTCAAGTTCAAGAGCCTTTGTTGATGCCGGCATTACCCCCATACATATGTAGCTCATCTCATTCACCACAGGCGAGAGTTCCAGTAACTGTGATCCTGCAGCATATTGGGGGAAATCAACCCTGGACTGCAGCCAGCAAGTGGGCCCTTGTCCTCTGATGGATTGATGAGTGATCTAATTCTATTTGTTTTTTAAATATTTATTTATTTGAAAGGCAGAGTTAGAGAAAGAGAGAAAGAGAGAAAGAAAGAGAGAGAGAGAGAGAGAATCTTCCATCTACTGATTCACTCCCCAAATGGCCCAGTGGCCAAGGTTGGGTCTGGCTGAAGCCAGGAGCCTAGAACTCCATATGGGTCTCTAATGTGAGTGCTGGGGCCCAAGCACTTGGGCCATCTGTGGTATGGGAGACAGGGGTGGTGGGAGCACCAGTAAAGACCCCGTGCAAACTGGGGCTTGAACACAGGCTACCTCTGAGAGGCAGGAAATGCACCTGAATTTTTTCTCACTGAGGACGAGGAACACTATTTATCCACCCGATTCTGTGCTTAGTAACTGTGGTCACTTCAGGGATTCTGTTGCTCTGGCTGGGCACCACAGACTGGGCCATTTATGAAGAACAGAGGTTGGTCTGGCTCCCGGGTCTGGAGGCTGGGCAGGCCCAGAGTGTGCACTGGCGACTGCTCACCACCTGACCTTTTCCCTGTGTCATGGTGGCAGGCATCATGCGGCGAGATGGAGCAAGTCAGAGAGAGAGTTTGCTGTTATTGCAAAGTCCCTCCCTGGAGAGCCCACGGCTCTCTCAGTCCCTGGCTCCCTCAGTCCACGAGCGAATTAAGACGTTCAAGAAGGCAGAATCTCATGGCCCACGCACCTCTCCATGATGCACCTGTCAGACACCATGAACACATGACTTAGGGGACTGTGTGTCCAATGCATGAAATCTGGAGGACACAGTCAAACTGTAGCAGCCAGAGAGGGTCCCCATCACTCTCACCGAGTCCGCCACGATCCCTCCTCTGGACCATGGCCTCAGCCTCCTGATGGCTCTCCTCGCTTCAGGGCTCGCCCCCAGCTACCCATCGCTCATCCCCGTCTCTCAGGAGGGGACAGCTTTCTCCTGGCTTCCTTCAAAGCCTGCACAACCTCTGCTCTGTCCTCTCTCTGAGCGCTCCTCCTCTCCTTGACTCCGTTCCATCCCCATTGGCTTCAAGGACCATTCCCTGAGGGCACCAAGCGGCCCTCCTCGGGCCTTTGCCGTGACTGGATTGCCCTTCCACTGACTAACTCTGTGGCTCACTCAACTGCTGCCTTCTAGACTTCACTTAAATCTCACCTTAGTGAGGCTTGCCCTGTCCATTCAGTATGAAACCTGAAACCCATGCTTCTCCCCATCCCCAAATTCAATTCCCCATGAGTTGCTTTGTTCTCTATGGCACTGGTTACTGCTGATCTATGAAATGATCTACTTCTTGATTATGTTACTTGCCTGTGCTCTCCCCTCCAACTAGGATGTAAGGCACAATGCTGCATTTAAAATTGTCCCAAGCGCATCCTTAGTATTCAGTAAGTTGGCTAATGGATAAATGAATGCCTGAGCGGTGTTCTGCATGTTATCTGGAGTTTCACTAGAAACTGAATATACTGGGGCCGGCGCTGTGGCTCACTTGGCTAATCCTCTGCCTGTGGCGCTGACATCCCATGTGGTTCCTGGGTTCTAGTCTTGGTTGCCCCTCTTCCAGTCCAGCTCTCTGCTGTGGCCCAGGAAGGCAGTGGAGGATGGCCCAAGTGCTTGGCACCTTCCCCTGCATGGGAGACCAGGAGGAAGCACCTGGCTCCAGGCTTCGGATCAGCGCAGCACCGGCCATAGCGGCCATTTTGGGGGTGAACCAATGGAAAAAGGAAGACCTTTCTCTCTGTCTCTCTCTCTCTCACTGTCTAACTCTGTCAAATTAAAAAAAAAACTAAATTTACTGTATTTTGGCAAAGCCAGTCAAATCTGTTTATTTAGACCAAGTGGCCAGGATGGTTCTGGTCCTGTTTCAGTCACCTACTTCCATTTTCTGTCAGCTTCTCACCTTTGTCAGCTCCTCTGTTCCAGCTCATGGTTTCCCCTTTGAGTCATCGCAGAACCATTTAAGCTGTCACTGGGTACGGGCACTGTGCGGAGCCTGCCAGGTTACCCAAAGGGAACGAGCTGGAAAAGCTCTTAGGGGGAGGTGTGAAGCCAGCCTACTGGGAAATGGGTGTGGCTTATCCACAATGGTTTCATCAGAGTCAAAGCCAACCCTGACTTTGCAGTCTGAAGAGCGGCTGCCTACTCGAGTGAAGGCGAAGGTGGAACCCCTGGCAGGTGGGCCAGAAAACAGGACACCGGGCGGAGTAGCTCTCTGTTGCTGTCCATCAGGACCCCAGGATTTCAGCCGAGGGGTGGTTCCTGGTTCAAAGGGAGGTTTTAAAATTGGCTTTGGCGGAAGTCACCCACGACTCGGGGCAGATGTATTAGGGGCTGATGCGGCCGAGGCTGGAACCCCTGCTTTCTTCTTGTCACAAAACGGTGTGGTGGCCGGGATGCACCCATCTTTGAACAGCCCGCGACCTCCTGGTTCACTTTTAAAATCCGGCAGTACCAGGCTGAGCCCTTAGCAGCACAGCACGACCTTTTCGTGGGAAAAGCTGAATGGTTGGGGGCAAGTGACTTGACTTTCTGTCTCTTTTCTTCCACGATGAGTTTTCTTTCTTTAATTTTTGTTTTTGATTTAGTCTAAGCTTCCTGGTTTTCCCTTATCTACAATAAGGGGCCTGGCCACAGCCCCTGACATTCCATCCGACACGTGCCTACCCTTTCAGGTGCTGGCACGAGGGGGGCTCATCGTCCTGCAGGCAGACGCAGAAGGACGAGGGAGGGGAAGAGTAGCTTCTCCGCAAACAACCACAGGACCGATATGGCCACCACCAATTACGCCTCGCTGTATCTAATGGACGTCGGATCTGTGCTTTATTCTGAGGACCGGCTGAGAGGAGGCCGCACGTGTTCCAGGTCAGAAGTTCCAGGCTCAGAGCAGACGCCTTCAGAGAGCTCATGCCTGAGGGTGAAGTAGAAGCCATCTTCCGAGGATTTTCTGGGGTGGACGGGAGAGGTTTGGGGAAAGGTAGTGGGGTACCAAGAAGCCACTTGCATTCCTGATTGTTGAAAACAATAAGGTACTAGTGTAGGCCCAAAGAGGATAAGGAGTTAAAGAATACGAAGGGGCTGCTGTTGTGGTGTAGCGCATAAAGCTGCTTCCTGGGACGACGATGCCAGCATCCCACATGGACAACGGCGGAGTCCCCGTTACTCCACTTCCCGTCCAGCTCCCTGCTGATGTACTTGGGAAAAGCAACAGAAGATGGCCCAGGAGCTTCGGCCCCTGCCACCCATGTGGGAGACCTAGAAGAAGCTCCTGGCTCCTGGCCTCAGTATGGCCCAGCCTTAGGGCCATTGCAGCCATCTGGGGAATGAACCAGGGGATGGAAGCTCACTCATTCGCTCTGTCTCTCCCTTTCTTAGTGTAACTTCGACTTTCAAATGAATAAATCTTTTAAAATATATTTTAAAAATTGGCTGGGGCTGCTGAGCATAAAACCAGGTGGACTGGTGGCCTTGGTAGGGGGTGTCTGCTCCAGCTGGCCTGGCCCTGGCGAATGGGGGAAGCTCACAGGGGGTCACCGTGGACACCCGAAGGTGGGTGCCTGTGAGTGGGGATTGGCTTCCATGTGGCTTACCAAATCACCCTTGGCCGAGTCCACAGAGTCTGGCTGCACTGGTGACAGTGACCACAGAGGCCGTGCTGAGCTCACTGGTGAAGACGGGAATTTGTGGCAGCGACTCAAGGAATCTGTAAGGAAAAGAGAGGGACTCCATATCCATAGGGGTGGAGGACTCAGTCCTGCGGGTGGTAGACTTGGAGGAAACGGAAACAGCTGCTTTCTCCTCTGGTCTTCGGTTGTCCATCAGAACACATCCGAGTTTTAATTTCTCCCGACAGTAAGATACTTTGAAGATCAGAGTAAAGACTTGTAGTGAAAGGACCAGAATTCAAATGGGCTCTATTTCCACTTGAAAGTGGAATTCTTAAAAAAAAAAATACTGAACTTCAAGAAAGAAATGGCCAGAACAGCAAAAAGAAAAAAAAAATAAGGATTGAGTGTCTCATCCCATCATTTCAGGATCAGCATATGGCGTGGGGTTGGTACAGGGGCAGAGGAATTTTGTTAACAGAGCCCGCATCTGGCAGGAGTGGGTGGAGATTTTGTTTGACAGCACATCTGTAGCCTTCCTCCCTTCCTCTCCTCTGTCTTCAGTGGGGTTGGAGAACCAGGCCAATGGCCTTCAGGAACTTTTCCTTGGCTAAACTTTCTGAACCCATTGTGGCTGGATCCCAAAGTCCCTGCACCACTCTCCTAAAGAGGCAGGAGCGGCTGGTGCCGCGGCTCACTAGGCTAATCCTCCGCCTGTGGCACCGGCACCCTGGGTTCTAGTCCCAGTTGGGGCACTGGATTCTGTCCTGGTTGCTCCTCTTCCAGTCCAGTTCTCTGCTGTGGCCCAGGAGTGCAATGGAGGATGGCCCAAGTGCTTGGGCCCTGCACCCCATGGGAGACCAGGAGAAGCACCTGGCTCCTGGCTTTGGATCAGCGCAGTGCGCCTGCCATAGCAGCCACTTTGGGGGTGAACCAACGGAAGGAAGACCTTTCTCTCTCTCTCTCTCTCTCTCTCACTATCTAACTCTGCCTGTCAAAAACAACAACAACAACAACAACAACAACAAGAGACAGGAGCCCCCCAGCAGGGCCGGCTCCATGAGCTGGGGAAGGCACGACTTCTGACGCCTGAGCTCACAGGGGACAACTTCGCCTTCTTACTCCCCGTGGCTCCTGGGTGGTTGGAAGGAATGCAGGTTTCCTGCAGAGGCCCAGGCCCCCAGAGCAAGGAAAAAGCATCGGGTCGCTTCCCCGGACGATGCTGATGGCACACTCCATTGCCTGCATGTGATGGGCGCTTCTATGCTTGGGTCACTATTTTGGCCGTCCTCCATCTTCGGCTGTCCCTTCCTCCTCCCCAGGGCTCGCTCAGTCTTCTTTGGGCCGGCATCTAGGTACTCTGGATGGAACGGAGCTCATGGGGGGAACTTCTTTCTCGCCGGGGTGGTGATGGAGGAGGGTCAGGTTGCACCCTGGATGACAGATCTTAGCTGTCCGGAATGGCCGAGCCTCTTGGAGTTCCCAGTGCCCAGTGCTGGCTCCATCTGAGAGTCCTGCCCAACACTGAGGAGCTTGGAGCCTCCTGGATCGCATAAGCTAAGCAGCGAGACAGAAACCCCGGTGGAAGACAGGCCAGGGAGCGGTGCAGCAGCTGCCGGGTGGGCATGGCCAGTCAGGGGGACCTGGAGCGCGGTGGCCCCAGGAGGCGGGTATGAAGCTCGCCGAGGCCGTTGCCCGTGGACAGCAGCTGCGTGCGTCGTGGGGTCCCTTGGCGCGGAGTCCGGGACCTCAGAGCGGTGTCCTGGCTGCCAACTCCGAGGCGAGGCACAGCGCTCAGCCCCAGGCGGGTGAGGGAAGGGTGCGCGAGCCAAGGGCGCGAAAACATCGCAACGGAGGCCCAAGGGCGAGGTCCAACGGCCCAACCCCTGCTGGCCTCGCACGCTTCGCGCCTGCTCTCGCTTGGTGGCGGGCGTTTGGCACCGAGCGGGCCCCCGCCGTAGGTGGCGACCGACCAGGTCTGCAGGGGCTCGCCCAGCACCGGCCGCCGGGGGCAGGAGCGTCTGTCACCTCTGCCTGTGAGTCGGCCAGCCCTTGTCACGAAGACCCTACCCGAAGGCAGAGAGGCGGGAGCAACCTTGATTCTCCCGGGAGAGGAGCTGGACTATGGGAAGGGGGTGGGGCAGGGGAGAGGGGCTGCTGACCACATCCCGGGCTGGCAGGCGGGTTCTCTTCACTGCTCGCTGCAAGTTTGGTTTTTAAAAAGGCGTGTGAGCCTTAGAACCCTTCCCCCGGCCTGACAGCTGGTAGTGGCCCTAAAAGGACTTCTTGTCCCAGGCGCTCAGACTCCAGAGCTCCCGAATATAACCGTTTGAGCCACGGTGTCTCCCTGTGTCATGGACGCGTCGTGAATTGATGCTTTCTATGGTCTTCGGGATACTGTGCACCAGGCACCCCTGTAGTGGGCACAGGCACTGCCTGCTGGGAGGCCGTGTTTGGCTCGGCTGCTAAGCAGACCATGGGCCACAACTGGGTCGTCAGCCCATCCCACAGGCTGTTTCTCTTCAAGCTGACCCATACAGCCAACCACCTGTCACCTGTGTAACGACAGGAGATGGCACATCCGCGGGGTGCAGGATCCACCTGGCTTAAAACCCTGGTGTCACCAAGGGCACCGATGTCTCTGGTGACAATTTTTGTTGGCTGGATTTTAGTGTCCTGGCCCAAACTGATGTTTCGCCAATATTAGCTTCTTCCGCGCACCACATGGGGTGTATCTCACGCATCTCCATACAGCTGGGTCTTTTACGTTTTCTCTCAGCGGCACTTTGCAGTAATAGCAAATTATGTAACCCATGAGCCATTTGGAACTTAGCCTGATTTTGTAAGGTCACTAAATGAAGAAGGAGATTAGTATGTTGAAGGGTTGTAAAGAAAGTTTAAAAAACCAACAGGAATCCAAAGAATATGTTGAGAGATCAGTGCAGTGTGACCTCCAAGGCCTGTGTTATTTATTATCCGGCCCTTAAGGGAGGAAGTTCGCTCTTGCTTTTATGATTTTCTGTGTGGAGTCTTGGTCAACTTTGTGCTAGTTTATCCTCTCATATTTTATGGGATTTGGAAATGTTCTTTAAGTGGTTTTAAATTTTATTGTTGAGTAGGTCATTGGTAATACACAGAAAGCACATATATATGTGTGTGTATGTATGAGGGCACTTCAAAAATTCACAGAAAAATTAAAAGAAGTTGAATTTGACACAAAAATTTTTTGAAATCCATATATGTTTTGTTCAGAATACACATTTTTTGTGAACTTTTCATCCTTTTAAAAAGTTATTTGTTTGAAAAGGAGACAAGGTGAGACAGACATCTTTTTTTTCAAGATTTATCTTATTTTATTTATTTTGAATTTATTTTATTATATATTTATTTTATTTATTTTGAAAGACAGAGTTACAGGGAGAGGTAGAGAGGCAGAGAGATTTTCCATCCACTGATTCACTCCCAAATGGCCACAATGGCCAGAGCTGCGCCAATCCGAAGCCAGGAGCCAGGAGCTTCTTCCAGGTCTCCCACATGGGTGCAGGGGCCCAAGGACTTGGGCCATTTTCTACTGTTTTCCCAGGCCATAGCAGAGAGCTGGATCAGAAGAAAAACAGCTGGGACTAGAACCAGCACCTGTATGCAATGCCAGCACTTCAGGCCAGGGCTTTAACCTGCTGTGCCACTGCCCCAGCCCCTGACAGACATCCTCTCTCTGCTGGTTCACTCTCCAAATGCTCATGGCAGCCAGAGTTGGACCATGCCAAGCCGGAAGCTCAGAATTCAATCAGGTTTCCCATGTGGGTGACAGGGATCCAAGTCCCTGCTGCCTCCGAAGATGTGCATCAACAGGAAGTTGGGCTCAAACGTGGAGCCAGGATGTGAAGCCAGGGGCTCGGATGATGAACTTTTTGAAGCTCTCTCATGCATGGATATATTTTTGGTACTCATGTATACAATACTTGTGTGCACGTGTGTGTGTACACACACATATATATATCACAAATATATATGTAGATGTATTTACGCTGGTACCTTGCTAAATTCACCTTTTATTTCTGGTAGTTGTATTCTTTTCTTGGCGTTAGGATTTTGGTGGTCACCTAGAATGAGTTAGGAAAAATTACCTTCTCCATGACCTCAAAGAGTATGCGTCACACTGATGAAATGTCTGTCTTTTATATTTGATAGAACGCACCAGTAAGACCATTTGGATCTGCAGTTTTCTTCCTGGAAAGGTTCGTTTGTCCTTTGCTGTTCTTTTAATATTTTAGATCTGTATTTGTGCCCCATTTTTATTGTTAAATTTTTTGTTTTCCTTTTTATAGCTTTGTGGTATCATTCCTATAACAATATCACTTCCACACTTGAAGAATACAATTTGGTGGTTTGTATCAGAGTCATGCATATATAAAACCATCACCAGGGCAAGATTTAGAGATTTCTATATTTAGAGATTTATGTTTTTATTTATATATTTATATGAAATATTTAGGCTATATTTATATATTTATATGAAATATTTAGGCTATATTTATATATTTATATTTTATATATTTTAATTTTATATTTAGAGATTTAATATTCAGTTACCAGCTGCTCCTCTCCAATTCCCAAGCCCCAGGCAGTCCCAATCTACTTTCTGCCTCTATGACTTTGCTTATGTGGACAATTCACATGAATGGAATCATATAACACTTAGCATAATGCTTTCAAAGTTCATCCATGTTTAGCATGCATGTTTTTATGATCAAATAATATTCCGTTACTTGCATACACCACGTTTTTTATCCATTCATCAGCTGATGGGCAAGTGGGTTCTTTCCACTTTTTGGCCCTTCTGAATAATGCCACACTCAGGTGTGAGTTTTGATATGGATAGACTTTCAGTTCTCTTGGGGATGTGCCTTAAGCTGGGTCGTATGGTAGCTTTGTATTTAAGAGTTTGAGGAACTAAAAGACTGCTTTCCTAAGTTGCTGTACCATTTTGCATTCCCACCAACAATGCTGAAGGTTCTAATTTCTGCATGTTCTCACCAACACTTGCTATTATTTGGCTTTTAAAAAATATTTATTTATCTGAAAGGCAGAGTTACAAAGAGAGAAGGAAAGACAGAGCTTCTGTTGGTTCACTCCCCAAATGGCCACAACAACCAGGGATGGGCCAGGTTGACACCAAGAGCCAAGAGATTCATCTGGGTCTCCCATGGGGTGTCAGGGGCCGAGGACTAGGGTCACCATCTGCTGCCTTCCAAGGCGCATTAGCAGGGAGCTGGATTGGAGGTGGAGCAACTGGGACTCAAACTGGTACCCTTATGGAATGCCAGCATTGCAGGCAACAGTTTAACCCACTAAGCTACAATGTGGTCCCTATTTGGCTTTTGATTCTAGCCATCATAGTGAGGGTGAAATAGTATATCATTCTGGTTTTTATTTGCATTTCCCTGATGATTAATGCTGCCCAATATCTTTTCGTGTGCAAATTGGCCATTTGTATGTCTTTGGAGAAATACTGATTCAAATCTTTTGTCTATTTAAAAAGGGTTTGCTTATTTATTTGAAATGCACAGTGACCAAGAGAGGGAGGCAGATCTTCCATCTACTGGTTCACTCTCCAAATGCCCACGACAGCCAGGGCTGGGCCAGGCCAAAGCCAGAAGAGAGGAACTCCATCAGGGTCTCCCATATGGGTATCAGGGGCCCAAACACTTGGTCCATCCTCTTCTGCTTTTCCCAGGCCATGAACAGGGAGCTGGATCAGAAGTGAAGCAGCCAGGACTCGAACTGGTGTCCATATGGGATGCCTGCATCACACCCACTGTGCCACAATGCCAGCCCCACCTTTCAATTTCTTTATGATAGCCTTTGAAGTTAGAAAGTTTTTCATTCTGATACAGTCTGTCTATTTTTTCTTTTGTTTGTGCTTTGTTGTCATACCTGAGAATATTTTTCCCACTCCAAAGTCATGATGGTTTACTCTTACATTTTCTTCTACGAGTTTTACAGTTTTAACTCTCACATTTAGATCATTGATCTACTTTGAATGAATTTTTATAAATGGTGCAAGATACGAGCCAAACTTCATTCTTTTTCCTGTGACTGTTAGTTGTCCCAGAACCATTTGTTGAAAAGATTTTTCCCCATTGAACAGTCTTAGCACTCTTACCAAAATCCAGGGCCATGTGTTTGGCATTGCTATTAAGATGCTGCTTGAGACTCTTAATAGCAAACTTGCATCCCATATGGAAGTGCCTGGGTTCAAATCCTTGCTCCACTCCTATTCCAGCTTCCTGCTTATGTGCACCCTGGGAGGCAGCAGGTGATGGCTCAAGTTCTTGGGGCCCTGGCACCCATGGGGGAGGCCTGGATTGATTTCTGGGCGCCCATTGTTGGCCTGGCCCAGCTCTGTCTGTTCTGAGCATTTGGGAAGTAAACCAGTGGGTAGGATCTCTCTATCTTTCCTGCGCTCTTTGTCTTCCCGTGGGGATTTGAATACAGCCTGGGTCGCGTGGTTTCAGCCTGAAGAATTACTGCTAGTGTTTCTCGTAAGGCAGGTCTGCTTTCAACAACTCATCTCGGGGTTGTTTTTTTTTTTTTTAGAAAACGTGGCAGGTCTTTAACTTAATTTATTTCAAAGGTGGGGAAAGAGAGAGGGAGGGAATGAGAAGGGGAAGGAGAGAGGGAGAGAGGGAGAGGGAGAGAGAGAAACACTTCTCTCACTGGTTCACTCTCCAGAAGTCCGCAATAGCCGAGGCTAGGCTGGGGCTGAAGCCGGGAGCCGGGAACTCAATCCAGGTCTTCCCTGTGGGTGGCAGCGATCCAAGTACTTGAGCCATCACTACTGATGTGCAGGATCTGCATTTGCAGGAACCTGGAGTCTGGAGCTGAAACTGGGAGTCAAATTCAAGTACTCAGACGTGGAACATGGGCACGGGCTAAATCCCACTGCCAAGCTAAATGCCCACTGCTGCCTTTATTGCTGAAATAAAGCTTTACTGCATTATAGATGTAGCATAAGGTATATACAGTTAGGACTACTGCTTGGTTGATGGGTTCTTTCGTGCTTTGAGCATTTTGAATACATTATCCTAAACGTTTCGTGACCTGCATTGCGTCTGTTGAGATGTCAGCTGTAGATCTTAGGGCAGTTTTCCTGGTAAATGCACCATTCTTCTCTTACTTTCCAAATGTGCTCATGTCTTTGATTTTTGGCTTTTTTTTTTTAAACTATGATGCCTCTGTGGATCCCTTTGAACTTAATCCTGAATGGATTTCATTGAGCTTTCTGTATGTATTGGTTTTCAACATATTTGGAGAGATTTTTGTTTCTTTTTTTTAAAGATTTATTTATTTATTTATTTATTTGAAAGGCAGATTTACAGAGAGGCAGAGAGGTCTTCCATCCGCTGGTTCACTCCCCAAATGGCTGCAATGGCCAGAGCTGCGCCAATCCAAAGCCAGGAGACAGGAGCTTCCTCCGGGTACCCCACAAAGGTGCAAGGACCTGAGCCATATTCCACTGCTTTCCCAGGCCATAGCAGAGAACTGGATTGGAAGTGGAGCAGCTGGGACTAGAACTGGTACCCATATGGGATACTGGCACCCCAGGCAGTGGCCTCACCTGCTATACCACAGCGCCAGCCTGGAAAGTTTTTAGCCTTTATAATTTTTTAAAATTCTTGTTCTTTTATCTCTCCTTTCTCAGTACTATCATTACGTGTGTATGCCTGGGGCTTGGGACCCAGTACAAGCAGATCCAGATTCCAACAGGGCAGAGAAGAACTCGGAGCCATTTGTCCATTTGTATCTCCTTTACTCACAGTGGTGGTGAGAAAATCACAAGGGACAGCCACTTGCCCCCAACTGTGGTGAGCCCACAGGAGATAGCCACCTTTGTGTCCAGAGCAGCAGCCAGACACACACACAGACACCGACACACAGCCGCACAGCCACATCTAGCCATGCCGCCCAGCTGCTTATGTGGGTTTATAGACAGTAGTGGCCCAGAGCCAAACCATTACATAACAGATGGCGGGCAGCCTGCCAGGCAGATGGACCTGCCGGTTACCATGACACCAGTTACCATAGAGATACGGAGACAAAAGGCAGGGAACGTGATAACTTCACCTTCTCAAGTTCATCTCCTCGACAGTGTGTATGGTCTCTCACATGTCTCCAAGGCTCTGTTTATCTCCCTCAGTAAACTTTACTGTTTGTTCTTTGGCATTCATAATCTCAATTGATCTATCCTCAAATTTGCTTGTTCCTTCTCCCAGTTCAAGTCTACTATTGAGAACGTGTAGTCAATTTTTTATTTCATTAAGTGTGCTTTTCAACTCCAGAATTTCATTTTGTCCTTTTTGAAGTTTCCTGTCTCTGCTGATAATTTCTATTTGATGCAACACTGCCAATACCTGTTCCCTTACATTTTAACCATGGTGACTTTTAGCTCTGTGAACATACTAGTAATCGCTACTTTGAAGTATTGTTTCCCCTGATGAATCGGACTTACAGTCACTGTCACAGGCAGTATCTTTTGTTCCTCTTCTTTTCCCAGTGTGTGACTCATATCTCCCTTGTTTCTTTGCATGCCTTGTATTTTCACAAATATTTATGTTGGAAAACTGAACATACCAGTTGACAGCTGAAGAGCCAAAATGACTCCATTTTAAAACAAAACAAACAAAAAGCAGCCTCCATTTCCCATAGCAGACCCGGGTCCTTGTAAAAGCAGGCATTCAGGCATTCCGGAGATATCAAAGCTTACCAGGGACAGCCAGCTCTGTAGACCAAGGACAGCACAACAGAGATTACTAAACAAAGTAACTCCCTGCGCCCAGAGCTTCCGTGCTGTAAGCCCCCCTGTAACTCAACTCCCTGCACCCAGAGCTTCTGTGCTGTATGTAACTTTTTTCCTGCTGATGTAGCCATTTTTCCTTTAAAAACTCTCCCAAAGATGGGGCCTCACTCCTGCCTCTGCTGGGCTGGCTGGTTGGATGGGGTCCCTGTCGCGGCTTGTACTCCCGAATAAACCTTGCTTTTGCAGTTCGGTGTGATAGACTCTCTGGGGGTCTCTGCGGGGATCTAAGGATCTGGGCACAACAACATATTGTAGCCACTGCAGGTATTTGATCCCTCCCATTCCTGAGAGGCTTGTTATTGTTATTGTTATTATCTGCTCTGTGACGGACTGGATTGTTTAGCTAAATCTGTTTTCTTTCCATTACCGTGAAGGCTCTGCTGTTCCTGCTCCGGGAGACAGGGCTCTGGGTGCTCCACAGTCACCCTGTGTGGGACGGTGGTGGTTTGGTGGCGCTCTCTTCTCTTTCCCTAACACATTCAGCCGTTTAACTCCAAAGCCATCTATTTCTGTGGGATTAGGTGTAAAAATGGCTACAGTTTACATCAGTCAGTGAGTAGGGGGAACACAGAACAAAATACCAGAGTGGAGGGCTTAACTAACAGAAAGTTGTTTTCTCACAGCTTTGGAGACTGAAACTCAATATCAAGTTGCGGGCAGGGTTGATTTCCCGTGAGCTCTCTCCTTGGATTGGGAGTGGCTGCCTTCTCACCATATCCGCATACGGAGGTCATACGAGGTCATATTGCTGTCCGTGTCCCCAGGCTTCCGTCTGGAACCCTAAGGTAGGTGGAATTGTTTTGATCCACTGGAAGCTCTCCCCTTAATTCTCTCCTCCCCCCCGCCCTTCACTCTGACTGCAGCTGGGGTCCCCATCTCATGACCTTTCTCTTTTTAACTTTTTAAAAAATCTTTCGAAGAATTTCTTTTACACCTATCATCACACAGCATGTTTTAAACGCAGATCTATAACTCTCTAATAAGATAAAGACAAAGTCTGCCTTATTAGAAACAAGACACTGCACCACGTAAGCCTTCAAACGTTATTGTACTTTAAGTCCAGGCTGCACAGCAAGAGCCAGCCGCAGTGCCGCGGCAGGGAGGGGCCCCGTGGGCCGGTGCAAGGCCATGATTCTCGAAGCCTACAGATGTCAGCCCACCCACCTCTGAGTTGTGGGCTGGGCTGGTGATCCACTGGGTGTCGGGATTGCTTCTGGTAGCGATGAATGAAGATAATCTCTTGTATCTGGAACCTTCCCCAACCCAGTAAGAATTTCAGGGCTCTCAGTCCCTTACAGTGGCACAAATCCTGCATCTGGCCTAGCCTGGCCTGGCCTGGCTTGGTGTCTCAGTCCACGTGCATGGTCAGGCCGAGTGGGGCAGGGAGCTCTGTGGAGTGGACCCTTGTTACTGTGGATTCGTTGAGAGGAGTGCGATGGGGGCAAGAGGTGTGGAGTCACCACACAGACCCCGGGAGTCACCTGAAAGCGCGCCAGAGGCGTGCAGCCTGCAGTTGGTACAGCAGCTTAAATAGCCAAGGCAGCCAATCCGGTCAAGGGGCGGTCTTTGCCCTAAACCAATCACAGCCCGTTGCCAGGCAGGCTCTGTTGCCAGGTGGTTTCCAAAGCCATCCAATCACAGCCCGTTGCCAGGCAGGCTCCGTTGCCAGGTGGTTTCCACAGCCATCCAATCACAGCCCGTTGCCAGGCAGGCTCCGTTGCCAGGTGGTTTCCACAGCCATCCAATCACAGCCCGTTGCCAGGCAGGCTCCATTGCCAGGTGGTTTCCACAGCCATCCAATCACAGCCCGTTGCCAGGCAGGCTCCGTTGCCAGGTGGTTTCCAAAGCCATCCAATCACAGCCTGTTGCCAGGCAGGCTCCGTTGCCAGGTGGTTTCCACAGCCATCCAATCACAGCCCGTTGCCAGGCAGGCTCCATTGCCGGGTGGTTTCCCAGGGGGTGTCGGAAGCCATTCCTAGTAACTGACGCTCTCTTGCCAGCGGCCATCTTGGCATGGCCTTCTCATTCCACCACGGACCCTCAGAGACAAGGGCCTTGTATCCAACTGCTGCTTTCTCGTAGCTGCTGGATGTACTTGTGTGCGACCCCCCTCCCGCCCCCGGCTCAGCGCCGGCTGCCCGCAGAGGGAAAGCCCCGGGACCCCTCTGGCCGTCCCCAGGGAAGCCGCTGGACCTGCCTGCGGCGCTGACGCAGCTGCGGGAGCCCCGTTTCCCACACTCTGGCAGACACGGTGCGTGTCGGACGGCTCGCTTTTGCCTTTTTGATTGGTAAGCAAAAAACAAAAACAAAAACAAAAAACTCTCAATATAAATGCTTAATTAATTTGAATGAATTGGATTCTCCATTAACCTTCATTCATGACACACTCTCATGACTGTGTTTTTGACTCATTGATTATTTATAATTTATCGACTCGTTGATAATTCATAATAATTAATAATAATTATCCACGAACCCACCACCCAATACAAATATCTGACCCTGACCTTTGTTTAGAAGCCTTTTAATTTTGTTCTCTATAAACTTTGTTTATGTTTGTTCTCTATAAACTTTATTTGAGAAACATTTCCCCAGATTCCTTTTTTTTTTTTTTAAGATTTATTTGAGGCCGGCGCCGCGGCTCAATAGGCTAATCCTCCGCCTAGCGGCGCCGGCACACCGGGTTCTAGTCCCGGTCGGGGCACCGGATTCTGTCCCGGTTGCCCCTCTTCCAGGCCAGCTCTCTGCTGTGGCCCGGGAGTGCAGTGGAGGATGGCCCAAGGGCTTGGGCCCTGCACCCCATGGGAGACCAGGATAAGTACCTGGCTCCTGGCTCCTGCCATCGGATCAGCGCGGTGCGCCGGCCGCAGCGCGCCGGCCGCGGTGGCCATTGGAGGGTGAACCAACGGCAAAGGAAGACCTTTCTCACTGTCTCTCTCTCTCACTGTCCACTCTGCCTGTCAAAAAAAAAAAAAAGAGAGAGAGATTTATTTATTTGAAAGGCAGAGTTACAGATAGAGAGTGAGATCTTCCTTCTGCTGGTTCACTCCCCAAATGACATAAATGGCTGGAGCTGGACCAGGCCAAAGCCAGGAGCCAGGAGCTTCTTTCCAGGTCTCCCATGCAGGTGCAGGAGGCCATCCCTCACTGCTTTCTCAGGTGCATTAGCAGGTAGCTGGATCAGAAGTGGAGTAGCAGGGATTTGAACCAGTACCTATATTGGATGCAGCTGGCAGCTTTACCTGCTATGACACAGCGTGGGCCCCTCATTTTTCTTGTTGTTGTTGTTGTTTTTTTGTTTAAATTTACTTATTTGGAAGGCAGGATTACAAAGAGAGAAAAAGAGAAAGAAGTAGCCCTTCTTTATTTGTGTTACCCAGCTTTTGAGAGGATATCCAATTAATGATTGACAAGGCCAAAGTCAAGGAGATTCCCCCCCTGAGTTTTCTTCTAGCAGTTTTGTAGTTTCAGGCCACATATTTAGGTCTTTAATCCATTTTTGAGCCAATTTTGGGGTGTAGATAACATACAGGTCTAAATTAACCCTTTTGCACATAGATATCCAGTTTGGCAAAGCCATTTATTGAAGAGACGATCCTTTCCCTGTTGTACCATCTTGATTGGGCTTTTCAAAAATTTACTGCCGGTATATACTTGGTTTATTTCTGGGGTCCCTGTTCTGTTCTGTTGGTCTGTATGAGTCCATTTTCATGCCAGAACCAATACTTTTGACTGCCACAGCTTTGTAACATAACTCAAAATTAGGAAGTGTGGTGTCTCCAGGCTTGTTTTTTCTTTCTCATGGTTGTTTAGCTATTAGAGGTCTTTTGTGGTTCTGTATGAATTTTAGAATCTTTCTCTATTTCTGTGAAAAATACCATTGCAATTTGATAGTGATTTCATTGAATGTGTATATCACTGTGGGTAGTATGAACATTTTAGCAATATCAATTCTTCCAGACTACAAACATGGAATATATTTTCGTTTATTTTCATCTTCTTGAATTTCTCTTATTAATGTATCATAGTTTCAGTGTGTAGATGTTTTGCTTCCTTGGTTAAATTCATTCCTAAATGCTTTATTCTTAATGCTATTATATGATTTCTTCTTCAGATAGGTTGCTATTTGAAATGTATATAGAAATGCAGTTGACTTTTTCAGTGTATTTTGTATGCTGTAACTTTACTGAATCCATACGTTAGTGCTTGTATGGAATCTTTAGAATTTCCTACATGTGGATTCATGTCAGTTGCGAGGAGAAGTAATTTTACCTCCTCCTTTTCCTGACTGCTGTGCCTGCAGCTTCTTTCTCTCATCAGGTTGCTCTTGCCGGTATTTCCAGCACTGCGCAGGAACCACAAGAGCATGCTTCATCCTGGTGGACCCCAGTCCTAGAGCAAAATATTTCTATTTTCTCTCATTGCTTATATTAGCAGTGAGTCTTTCAGAAGTGGACTTTATCATGTTGAGGAAGTTAGCTTCTGTTTTGTTGAGAGTTTTTATTTTTACCATGAAGTGATGTTGATCTTTGTCAAATGCATTTTGGTATCTATTGAGATGATCATCAATTCTTTTAATATGGTGTATCAAATTGATTATTTTCAGTATGTTACACTAGCCTTGCATCCGTGGGATAACTCCCATTTTGTAACAATATATAATATTTTTGATGATGAATTAGTTTGCCAATATTTTATTCCTCAGTATTTTTTTAAAGATTTATTTTATTTATTTGAAAGAGTTTCAGAGAGAGGTAGTAAGAGAGAGGTTTTCCATCTACTGGTTCACTCCCCAGATGGCCACAACAGCCAGAGCTGCGCCTATCCGAAGCCAGGAGCCAGGAGCTTCTTCCTGGTCTCCCGCGTGGGTGCAGGGGCCCAAGGACTTAAGCCATCTTCTACTGCTATCCAAGGCCACAACAGAGAGCTGGATTGAAAGAGGAGCAGCTGGGACTAGAACCAGCGCCCATATGGGATGCCAGCACTTCAGGCCAGGGCTTTAACCCGCTGCACTACAGCGCCACCCCCTCCCCCCATCAGTATTTTTTGCTTCTGTAGTCATTAGACATATTGGCCTGTAGTTTTATTTTCTTGTGATGTCTTTATTTGGCTCTCATCTCAGACTGATGCTAGCCTCATAGACAGAGTTTGGAGATAATCCCTCATATTTTTGGAAAAGTTTAACAAGGATTGGTGTTAATTTTTTCTAGTCAGGTAGAATTCATGCTGAAGCCATCTGGTCCTAGGCTTATCTTTGTTGAGAAGTTTTTGATTACTGCTGTGATCTCTTTATTTATTATTGGTCTGTTCTGGCTTCTATTTTTTTTTTCATATCAATTAGACAATTTTTACTAAATGAGAAAGTACATTTAAAATGTGTTTTAAAAAATAGAATTAGAGGCCGGCGCTGCAGCTCAATAGGCTAATCCTCTGCCTGCGGCGCCGGCACACTGGGTTCAAGTCCCAGTCGGGGCACTGGATTCTGTCCAGGTTGCCCCTCTTCCAGTCCAGCTCTCTGCTCTGGCCTGGGAGTGCAGTGGAGGATGGCCCAAGTGCTTGGGCCCTGCACCCCATGGGAGACCAGGCTCCTGGCTTCGGATCAGTGCAGTGCACCGGCCACAGCGGCCATTGTTGGGTTAATCAACGGTAAAGGAAGACCTTTCTCCCTGTCTCTCTCTCACTGTCCACTCTGCCTGTCAAAAAAAAAAAATAGAATTAGAAAAAAAGGACATATGCAGTTTAAGGAACCTTTGCACTGTGCCGAAAATCAAACATTTCTTGTAGTAATACAGTGTGCCAACTCATAAACTGTAAGTTAGCAGAATTCTCAATTTAACATTTTCGAAGACAATATTAAGGTCAAGAATTTCGCATCTATGGTAGCACATATAGAAGGGCATTATAAATGTGATGTCCATCCCTACGAAGCTTACAAATTTGACAATGCTCAATAAAACCACATCCAATAGTTTCGCATCCAAACAATCACAATTCTATTTCTTTTGATTCAGTCTTGGCAGGTTGTAATTTTATAGAAATTTAATCACTGGGGCCAGTTTTGTGGTATAGTGGGCAAGGCGACCTGTGATGCCAGCATCCCACATGGGCTCTGGTTCGTGTCCTGGCCATTCCACTTCTGATCCAGCTCCCTGCTAATGGCCTGGGGAAAGCAGTGGAAAATGGCCCAAGTGTTTGGGCCCCTGCTACCCATGTGGGAGACCTGGATGAAGCTCCTGGCTCCTGACTTCAGCCTGGCCCAGAGCTGCTGTTGCAGCCATCTTGGGGTGTGAACCAGATGATGGAAGATCTCTTATTCTCTCTCTCCCCCTTTTTCTCTGTAACTCTTTCAAAATAAATAAAATAAATCTTTTAAAAAAATATATTCATTATTTTTATGTTATCCAATCTTTTGCCATATAATTGTTTATAATAGTCCCCTATGAACCTTTCCACTTCTGAAGCAAGCTTTTCAATGTCTCTTCTTTCATTTTTTATCTTATTTAAGTCTTTTTTCTTTTTTATTTGTTTGTGTGGCTAAGGACCTATATTCTCAAAACTCAACTCCATGTGTGCTAATTATTTTCCTATTTTTTTCTGTTCTCTATTTATGTTGACATTTTATTTCCTGCCTTCCACTGGATTTAGTTTTTTCTTCTTCTAGTTCCCTGAGGTGTAAACTTAGGTTGCTTATTTGAGATCTTTATTTCAATATAGGCGTCCCATACGTTTTGGTAGTATTTATTTTTTATTTCATCCAGTGAGAGATTTTTTTCACTTCCATTTTGATCACCTCTTTTACCTAGTGGCTGCTCATGTGCAAATTAGTTTACATATGTTTGTGAATTTCTTGCTCTTATTGGTTTCCAGTTTCATTTCATTGTGGTCAGAAGAGAAACTTGGAATGACATTAATCTTCTTAAATTATTTTATGATCTAGCACATGGTCTGTCCTGGATAATGGTCTGTGTGTACTTGAGAAGAATGTGTAAAGAATTATACTGGTGAAAATTTGCATTATATTTAAGTCTATTAGGTATACAATGTTGTCCAAGTCCATTATTTATTGATTTTTCAATCTGGATTTTCTGTTATTTAAAGTGAGCTGTTGAAGTATTCTATTATTGTATTGCTATCAATTTCTTCAGTAAAGTAGATCAATAATTGTCTTATATACTTGGGTGCTCTGAGGTTGGATATAATATATATATATATTATGTATCATTGTTATATATCATGTTGTAAAAATGTAATATAATGATCTTTGTCTCTGGAGACAGTTTTTGATTTA